CCTATCCCCCTGTGTGCCTTGCCTCCCACGACTGCATTAAGTTATTAGTTATGTCACACTTAAGAATCAAAGTGCTGTTTGCATTAAGTTATTAGTTATGTCACACTTAAGAATCAAAGTGCTGTTTGCATTAAGTTATTAGTAAGGTGAATCTTTTTCATGCAGTTAAATTGTTTTCGATTTCTTTTTTATTTCAATTCGAATGCGCAGTAATGATGAATATTTAATTAAAACAAAGCTTTTTCTTCTAATATTCGTTGAAACCCAGTTTCTTAATTTACATGGGTTGAAAGGTTCCTTTTCACGGGACAAATAATTCCTTCTAAAATAGGCAGATTGAAAAATATATTTAAATTTGTATTTTCAAATTATTCTTTGTTGTCAATTGTATTCAATAAATATTAAAATTCTATAGGCCTAATTCTAGAGTTCGTAACCTTTACCTCGTAAGTAACGCTTGTTAAGATATTTCTTCCGTAACGTTTTTGGGTTGGCCTGACTTTAAAGTTTAAAATGTACGTATATCACAAGGCCGTAGGAAGCGGTAAGGCCAGTCAGGCCATGTCCTGACCACTTTTTCATGGCATGTATAGCTACAACTTGCGTATTAAAACTTTATTTTTTAAATTCAATACATTACGTTGTGTGTATACAGTATTTGTAGTTAAAATGGATCAAGATTCAATCTTATAGCATTAAATGCATTTTATGGGGGACAGTTGTAAGCCATGTTTCCAAAACAGTATTGAATACACCTGCAACTAGAAATAGCACCAATTTATCATTTAAAATACCCCTCAGAAATTGCTAGCATATTAGTTCATGTAGGTCTGTTATATTAAAACAAATTAAAAGGTTTCTCTTAAATATTTGCGTTTCTTTTCAACACATTCGTTATTCCGGACATTTGATCGAGACCTCCTGTGTTATGTATGGTTAGCAGCTTTGCTACAGTAACGAGATATATCACAGTTTACATGGTGTAATAATAGTGGTATCCTTTCGTATCTGTTACAACGAGATACGTCTGGTAGTTTGAGTGTGAGCGGGCGTGACGAAAATGAATCATTACATTTACAATAGGGCCTTTGACCGGATAATAAGCACAGCACTGACACCGTGGTTCTTGAGATCTCTCTCTTCCAAACATTTATGGAGCTTCCTGGGTAACTGAGTTGGCGTGTATATACGCATATATGCTCATCATCTTTGACTGCTTACCGAATATGTTCCCTTGGTAATTAGATGCATTCGTTTTATGTATGTAGTTGTAATACTATTAAGTGAGGTTTTATGGATTCATTTGTGATTCTTTGGGTATGGCGGGAATGTTGCTCGAGGTATTCTGTTTTTCATTGTAGATGGATTTAGAAATTGTCATAATATTTTTGTTTTCACCAATAGAACACTTAATATTTCACAATAAGAGGGATTCAGATACTTATAAAAAAGTAATAACTAATTAAAAACATGTTTTTAATAAGCACATAAATAAATACTATAGGCTCCGATCCTGGGGGGAGGGGAAAGACGAAACAAGTCCACTGTACCTTCAGCAGTGAGGGGGGATAGTATATGTATCTGTCCCCCAGTTTAAAGACCTTTTAAAAAATGTAAATATATCTATATATTCCACAGTCTCTGTTGTTGTTTTTGCGTGTTGGACTGGATCATAATGGACCTTCCCCCGTTCCAGAAATTAATCCGGCTGGAAACTGTGAACTTGACCTGTTCGATAATGTTTTCGACTTCACTCTAGTCTTGTGACTTTCTACGGCTATGTTCCAAATCGTACCCTACGCGAAGAGAAGCGCAGTACTTTGGCCGAAAGCCATCTTGTAGGGTGCCCTCACGCATTAGGGAGTATATAAAGTGCACCCTAACCGTACACCTCAGTGGAATTTACAGACGATATACACATTCCGGAAGAGATATCATTATTTTAAATCCACAATTCGCCGCGTTTCAAAAGAAAATATAAATGGCGGAATCGACTCCAGTAATTGTGTACGAATATGTTTTGAAACAAATCGTTTAAAAGTTACTACTTAAAACAAATGCTGAAAACACCGATTTTACTTATTCGTTTAAATAGCAGCGTGAAGAGAGGGAGAGAGAAAAAAAACACCCTAGTTAAAGTTTAAAATAAGTAAGTCGTGATTATATTTAAACTAGCCTAAAAATAAATTAAATGCATCACAGACGTTTGTTGTAGATTAAATGCAGGGTGCGCGTTTTATTTTATTTTGTGAAGAGGTACTGTTGTATTTAGCAGCCTATTTCTTATTGTCTTATGTTACTGTAATGGTAAATAATTCTTTTCCAGAACACACATTAGGGAAAATATTAAAACTAGGAACTATATATCAATATTTATTTTCACATAACAATATCTTGAAACATTATTATTATTATTACAACAATTCTATAACAATATCTTGAAACATTATTATTATTATTACAACAATTCTATAACAATATCTTGAAACATTATTATTATTATTACAACAATTCTATAACAATATCTTGAAACATTATTATTATTACAACAATTCGATGGTTATATTTTTGCGAACAATACGATGCAATCAAACATAGCTCTAAAGATTACCGAATAACGTAAAAAGCCCCCTTTGCTGGTTAATGCGATTTTTTTATAATTAATGACGTCATACAGTATTTTTCTTAAAGGGCCCCCTCCCCTCACCTTTTAGTCAAGATCAGCCCCTATGGATGTCACACGAAATATCTAAGTATCTTCATCGTTGAAAGTTCGTGGACACATTTTCCAAGTTTTTGCATGTTAATCTATTCATATTTCGTACTTGAATAAATAGATGTCGCTCTTGGGGGTAAACTGGCACCAGGTTACGTTACTCTTAACATCACTGTTATTACAGTTGCATTTGTTAGAAAGATCTCCTGACGTTAACATTCTGACGTAGTCGTTTGTGCATGAAGGGTAGGAATTTCAAAGTTCATAAAATTGAAACAATGATTGTTGCGCTATAACATATATGATTAACTAAGGGGGAAAATAGTAAATATATTTTGTCATACCAATAAATTTATTTGCTTAAAAGAATTAGTTCGATAACGAGAAACCCACTTTGAGACTAATAATGGTTGGAGACGGCTTGAATGGGTAATGAAGAAAAACATTAATATAAAGTTATTTTCTTCATTACCCATTCAAGCCGTCTCCAACCATTAAAAGAATTAGATTGTTTTTTGTTGTTGTTTTTTTCTAAATGTGAGCGTGTCAAAAAAAATGATAAATTTGCTGTTAAAACGTGAGTTTAGTCTGTATAGCACTGGTGAAATATGTTTATTTGTGTCAAAGCATTGCGAAAAGAAAACATTATAAATCTTTATCAGACTGCGGGGTTGTGACGTAGCGATACAGTGGAAACGATTTAGCCACGTCAGAGCAACGTTCGTTCCGCACGTGACGTATCTCACAATTTAAGTGTTAAGGGGTCGCATACTGAAGAATTTCGTCGTCACGCGGTCGCGTTTTGTTATATGATTTGTTCGTACTGCAGTTCTATTGTAATAGGAAGCCGTATATATAAGTAGACTAAGGAGTAAGGGCATGCTTTGGTAAGAAAATTCTGTTGTTTTTTCCTTTAGAATAAGTGATGACAGTATGTGTACGTAGAAATATAGGTTGTTTGTTTTTCCATTTTAAGTTACAAGCACTGTTCTAATGAGCTTCGTAGTAACATAATTTGTAAAACATTATTTTTCGATAATAAACGTTATGTTGTAATCTTATAGCTACTAGGTGATGGACTAACAACACGTCTGGTTGATACACGTGAGTAGTTACGTATATATAAAGTACGCACCCTTACATAATCCATTCGTTGCCTGCTTTGTCAAACAATATGTTTTCCTTTCTATATGCACAAAAGCAACGGAATACTACAAGCTTACTTTCAATCTTTTGATGTTTGAAGCAGAAACAAACTCTGTCTTAGCGTACAAGAATTGGTATACATCTGTAATATTCCAGTTATACCCCTTGTTTAACCATTTACGACTCCAGTCACACATCTGTAATAATACCAGTTATACCCCTTGTTTAACCGCTTATGACTCCAGTCACACATCTGTAATAATACCAGTTATACCCCTTGTTTAACCGCTTATGACTCCAGTCACACATCTGTAATAATACCAGTTATACCACTTGTTTAACCGCTTATGACACCAGTCACACATCTGTAATAATACTTGTTATACCCCTTGTTTAACCGCTTATGACTCCAGTCACACATCTGTAATAATACCAGTTATACATCTTGTTTAACCGCTTGTCTCAAATCACACATCTGTAATATTCTAGTTATACATCTTATTGTGTATCATTAAATATACCAGACGGAAGTGTGTTAACGGAAAGTCTGTTCATCCTGTTTTGACGACTAGGAACCCACTTTGAAACAATAAAGTTTAAAGACTGCTTGAACGAGTAACGAAGAAAACTATATTACAAGTTTAACAAAGTAATAAATGTAAAAAAGTTTCGACAAGGTTTTATCATCATCAGGTGCATTTGTTACTATGTTAAATTTGTAATATAGTTTCTTCGTTACTCGTTCAATCTGTCTCCAAGCTTATTTATTTTCTTTGTCTGACTTTTATAACGTTTCAAGACTTTTATGAAAATGAAACGTATTTGTATGAATGAATTTTTCAAATTATCTTATGCCATTTAAAGTCAAAGTAAAAAAAAAAGTGTAGTAAAACTGTTAGTTTATGCTAGCCACCTTTCTAGAACCTCTCGTATAATAGTAACTTCATACTCTGTACGTAAATAAAATGTATAGTAAAACTTAACCCCATTGGTTTTTGCTATAGCCTAGCCACCTGTACGGAACTTCCCGTGTTATAGTAACATTAGGTTCCTAGTCTTCTAGTTAATTATTCCTATTATATAAAATCCAAGCTCGGTTTTTATTTTTAATCTGTGTTGCTATAAAAAAAGCAATAACAGATATATGAACACTATTTTGTTTGTATATTTTAGAGCAAAGCCACATTAGGTCATCTGCTAAGTCCACCGCAGGAATCGAACCTTGTATTTAGGATTGTGAGTTTATAAACTTGCCGCTGGTCCACCGGGAGACCAATATTTTGTTGCATATTATTAAAATCTTGAAAAGTTAGAAATGAATTTTTGTAAACATGTTACCTCTGATCGAACGTTCAAATTTTGTCATTTTTATTGATATATTTAGTGGTATCTGGACCACTGCTTTGCTAACTCACAACTTATAAGTATTGTCATAGCGTGTGCTGTCATTGGGCGAGTTTTTGGATAATTTTGTAGTATCCAGTGTGATTACATATAAACACAATCGCAATGGAATCTGTGCAATATTAATATGTTGGAATGACGTGTCGAGTTCACGTAACGATTACGGTTAATTTGTTTCTTCTATAACGTTTGCTGGAGGCGACGTTCACTTTCATACATGTTGTAGGCCTAAGTTCAAATACACTTGCTAGTGGTATGCCTAACTTACAAGTAAACCTACTTATATTATTCCTCTGATTACTCCCTGAATACTTCACTAACTCATATTTATATTTATTCGAAGTTAAGCACAAAGTACAAAATGGGCTATCTGTGCTCTGCTCACCACGGGTATCGAAACCCAGTTTCTAGCGTTGTAACTCCCCAGACATACCGCTATGCCACTGGGGGGGTTCATATTTATGTTGTTTCCTTGATTCCCAGAAAGGGACCGAAGGCTGTTTGGAGGGTTTAACCTGCTTTGACCATTGGCACAACTATACAGTAGGTTGTTGTCAGTCGCTCAGTCACTAGACACTAAAATTACGTTACATAAGGGACGTTTAACCTTTCAATTTGTACTGTCATGACGTCAATAAAATGTACGCATGCCTTGAATCACGAGAAGAATTATGCACTCTGTAGACTACAACACAGCATGACATATGAACATCAAAAGCAAGAAATAAAAACATTTGTTACTGTTAATTTTGGTTTTATTTACTCCTGAAACAGAACACTTTCCGGAACCATGCGCAAGTACATCTAGTTTCACCATGTTTCGCGAACCTTCTCAGTTATTACATCACTATCATGAGTAACAGCTTCCTCTAACAAACAGCCACATTAATTTAAAATATCGCTTACAACAGTATGAACCAAAAATACCAATCTTGTTGTAGGCTTCTTTAGGTGTACATGTGTGCTTTGTTGGGACAGTTAAACAGCCGTTTAAATAATTTTCAGCAACGGAGGAAGAGGAGGGGGTCTCGACTTTTCAAGCTATCCCAGTAAAAATGCATCAAAGTTAGGATATTTATTCTCAGGAAAAGCAGAAGAATGCATAAAATTTAAACCAGAACCCAAGAGCTTCCAGGGCCCTGGACCCTGACTGTAATGGGTGCGCCCGTGGCGCACACTCCCCTCGCATCGCTTAGTGAAATAAACCTTAACCCTATTAATTTGCTTCCTACACCTATGTTGTTAATTTTTTAAGAAGCTACAAACAATGTTGTTGAACTAATGTAGAAATGCATTTCACTATTTACTTCCTACTAATTAGTTCTGTAGAAAATACTCTTAAGACAGTATGCCATTATAGCGTTACGTGACGTAAGAAAATCAGTTAAAGCCACTTAAAGTGGACACATGACATTCCTGCTGAAAACGTTCATTGTTGTAATTAACCCTCTTGAGATTTGCGCTACTAAGTTCATTCATTGTTAACACAGAATGTCCTTCATTTCTTGTTTGTGTTGTTATCCTTAAAAGTCACCTCGATCTCTGACAAAGACAATAACAGTAGATGTTAGTTTAAAGCCACGGGCGTAAGCCTGCTGAAACGATTAAACAATTAAAAACTTGCGATGTTTACCAGACGTTCATTAATCACATGGAACTAGACTCTTTACAATTCGGTGAAATGGGTCGAAAATATGTAACAAATGTGTATGTTCTCCTATTTGTGTGTTATTAGTCGGCATTCACTGCAACTGATCTGAGGAAATCCTAGAACCATTAGAATTGATTTTTTGAGGATTTTATTTTATTTTCCACCAGCATCAAATGAACAGTTGAAAAGTCAAGATTAGGTTCGTTTTCTTTTAATAGATAAATAATCTAACGAATATTCTACGAGCTTGGAGTGTAATTTATATGTTTAGTTTTAGAAGTGAGGACATATGGCAGTCAAAGGTCATTAACACGTATTATTTAAGAAACATAAAGTCAGTCTTCAATACCTTTACTAAAATTCGTCTCCTGATTATTGGAACGAAAGAAAAAACTCGAGGCTCTGAAAAGAGGTAGGTAAAATAGTTTACGATTAAAAATAACGCGAATAAAAATCATTTCGGATCCCAGTAGATGACGTAACAAAGAATCCCACAGCTAGTAAGCACTCAGTTGTAAACTTACATTTTCTTCACAGTTCGCTTACGATACAAGAAGACTGTAAATCTTGTAGCCTTGTTCTTTGGAAGGTCTAAGTGTTGTTGTGTTAATTCTGTGCAAAATCTAAGTACTGTGTTGTTAAGACTTAGAAAATCTGAGTATTGTAACATGTGTGGTTAAAGTTTGTGATCAGAATGATATAGTCCACGAAGTAATACAGCAGTAAGTTCACGGACTTACAACGCTCAAATTCGGGGTTAGATTCTTCGCAGTGGACACAGCAGAAAGCCTAATGTGGCTTTGCTCTAAAACAAACTAAACGTACTCCTTTTTAAAAAAAAAACATTTCACGGACAATCTATGTATGCTGATTTTATAGAGCAAAAAAGAAAAAAAGATTAGGTCTAATTGGCGTCGTATGGGTAAATATTTACATTCAGACCTTGCCTCTATCGTTTGGACCGATTCAAGTCAGCGAAAACATTGGCACCATCAAGTCTTTTTTGTTTGTTTGGAGATAAGCACAAAGCTACACAATAAGCTTTCTGTTCTCTGCCCACCACGGGTATCTAAACCCGGATTCTAGCGTTCAAAGTCCGCAGACATACCGCTGTGCCACTGGGGGCACTATCAAGTCAGCGAAAACATTGTCACCACTGATGAGACACCAGGCAGGTAACGGCTGTAAAAAAAATAACAAAACCCGAGGTGTATAATTCATGAAGAATTGACACATACCGGATGTGAAATAATCCGTTTATAGAGATATTCAGAACATTCTCCGTGACTTGATAATAAATTATGTTGTTTCTTACTAACCATCTTCTCCCGATTAGTTAAAACTAGCATCTTCTACTCACATTGATTCACTAAGGAAACAAATCGAATGAATTATTGTTAAGAAATGTATCAGGTGTTTTGTATGAAGATTATTTTGTTAATAACTGTTGGCATAATGAGTTCAAAGTGGGAAAAACATTAAATTCAATAAAACCATATCTCTGATGTTTAAGAAAGTCGTACTAATGAAGTTCGTTAATCGCAAGTTGATATATTTGCCTTTTGTAATTTGAGTCAGTGTTGTGAAATTAGATTTCTCATCCGGTTATTTAATTTAGCACTTAAACAATTAACCTCTAAGTAACCTTGAAACCCCAACTTTATTTTATTTCTGTCAGTATTTAATCAAAACTTTTCATTTCAAAAATTACGTATTCTTCTTCTTTTCTATCACTAATAAGCACAGAACATTTAATGTCAAATAATTACTTTAAATTCTAAAACGCTTGATGTAATTACTATTAATTAAAATTCCTTTTCTATATAATCTAGATTATTAGTTCATCTATTTTTAGCCCCTGGATATTTAATAATTTTAGTTTTTTTTTGTTTATAATAACATGGCTTCATAATTATGATAATGAATTCTTTAAAAATTATTAATGACGTCTCATCTTTTACTAAATTTTTTGTTAGTGATGTATTACGTATTGATTTTAAGATAATGTGCATGTTATGCTGTATAGGGGAACAGTATTTCCTTGAACAACTGTATATACTTCATTGTATGAATATTTACAGTTTAATATCCAAGGCAACTAAAATCATTTTTCTTAGAGCGCCTCGTTTAACCAATTCGTGTAAATGAAAAAACCTTTTGCTTTTGTCTTTCGAATTAAATTTTTGCTAGCTTGAAATGAAATTTCTTCAATTAATCTGATTTGTACTATTTAGTAGTTAAATGAAGGTCCTTGTGAGTGCGCTATATACGCATTTTTTCTTACCCATTCAGCGTGTTTACTTGTTTTCATATTCATTTCATAAAATATAAAACTATGATTTTTGATTATATTATTTATAAAGTTCATTATCTCCTTACTGCTGTAGCTTTTGGTCACTTAAGTATTTTGGTTAAACATCTAGACGTACTATGGCTAAACATAATTTTAAAAAATTCTTATAAATAAATGTTTAAATAATTATTATAAATGAACACTTTCCTACTATGTTACTACAGAGGATTCATGTTAGCTAAACTATAAAAACCAGTCCACGTGTATTTTGAGTTTGTTTACTTGGGATATTCACACAAAGCTACTCAAGGGCTATTTGTGATAGTTGTCCCTAATTTTGAATTGAAAGACTAGAGGGGAAGAAGCAAGTTACTAGCACCTACCGCCTACTCTTGTGTAACCGAATAATGGAATTTGACCGTCACTCGTATAACGCACTCGTAGCCCCAAAGTGCGGAGCGCGAATTTTTTTTACTGGACCTTCATGTCCATAGCCTAGCATGCTAACACCTGGGCCACACTCATCCCACTTTAGAGTAATGTTAAAAAGGCACCGAGTTTAAAGTTTATGTAATGTTAGGGAACTGGAATGTAGAGTGCTGTAATTGAAAGAGAGCTTCCGAACTGAGTGGTTTTCAGATTTAATTTCATCTTATCATTGTTAGTGATTAAAAATAATACAAAAGTCAGTGTGAGTTTAATAGACAAGTCAGTGTGAGTTTAATAGAAAATTCAGTGCGAGTTTAATGCACTTTCGAACTTATGTCTCACGTATTTACTTTTAATGGTATTCTTATACATGAGATTTATTTTCATGCGAATGAAAATATCGTGATTAAATGTGTAACAGTTGTCAGTTTATCAAGATCTATATTTCCGAACTTGGATGTGCAGCTTGTCATATTTTATGTTAGATACGTTCGTCTAATTAGCAACTCGTACATTTCAGCTGCATGTTAGTCAATTTTGCAGGACAGTAGCATATAACTCATTATATTAACATTACGTTATAGGAATGAAGTTATTATTAATTCGCAACTTGAAACGCCAAAGTATATACGTTTATTAATCTCAGCACTATATTTTTCGAGTGGATTTTATAAGTTTTAGCATAGATTTTACAAAAAGCATTTTGGTAAGTTTTTTTTTTTCACCAAAAATTGTTTCGGTAGAATTTCACATGATACTCTTGGATATTTTAATTGATCCTGATGTTTAATGTAAATCTATTGTAAAGTCATTTTGAGTATAGTTTACTTAAGATTAGTTTTCACATGATACTTACGTAGATATATGTTCTCACAAAGTGTTTAAGTCGGATTTTTTTTACAAAGTATTCAAGATAGATTTTATACCTGGTATTTATGATAAGCTTTTCAGTGGATATTTATGGTGCTCGTGTACTCATCGTTTGATGAATAATTTTATATACTTTAATTATTTTTAGAATGTATTAAAGGTTACAACTTCACATGGCATTTAGAGTGAGTTAGTGTTAACAGAATGTTAAGAGTAATTTTTACTTTATATATTATTTATAACAGATATTACACGTTGCATTTAGGATTGAGAATAAAGTATGAATTGTTAAACAATATTTAGTACATAATTGAATAGAGTTGTTTAAACATTTGTTTAACAACAAGTAAAAGCTTGGAATGGTCTATTCTTTCATTGGAGGTGTGTATGTGGGCCAGACTTGTTGTTAAACATGTGTTTAAACAACTCTATTCAATTATGTACCAGCTGCTTAGTGTCGGCTAAAAATACGAAGAATTAAATTGTGGCGGAATACCTATAGAATGATAGGTTTCTTTTTTGTGAGTGTAAAACACTTAAATACACCATTTCGAGTATTTAGTATAAATTTTTGTGGTTTTAAATACGTTCTTTAAGTAGCGCTATCTAGAGGTTTTAACCCTAATATCATAGATAGAGCTTTTATCAAATTTCACAACAGTAAAACTTTTTATGCTAATTCCAGTCTTTCCCTTAACATTAACAAAAAACATAACAAACTTGTTTCATTCCCTTTTATGCTAGAAATTGCCAATGAAATTATCTGTTTATTCAGTAAGTTGAAACAATGTAAAAACTGTATTTAAACCTTCACACACAAAAAAAGCAAGCGCCTTACTACCGAAGTTGAAACAGTTTCTACTGAAGGAACAAATCGAAGTATTTCATATGAATGTGATAAATATATATATAAAAAACAGACTTCGCGTTCCTTCGAAATCAGACACAAAGAACACAAAGGTCAAAGGTTATATGCGTAAAGGTGAATTTGAGAAATCTGCCTTATTGTTGTTGTTTGTAATTAAGCACAAACTACACAATGGGCTATCTGTTCTCTGCCCACCACAGGTATCGAAACCCGGATTCTAGCGTTGTAAGTCCGCAAACATACCGCTGTGCAACTGGGGGAGGGTCAAATCTGCCTTAACATGCATTGGTTTGATAAGATACTTTAGTATGAAATGTTTATCCTTTATCAACACAAAAATATGAGAGATTGTTTAGAAATGATAAAAATGATTAAAATAAGTGATTTTTGTTTTCACTAAGCCGTGACATTGGCTCTTTGTAACATCAGCAAAATTTGGCTGAATTTATTAACCTAGCTTTCGTTCCCAACCTTGACCTGCCTGTTGTAAATTTGATTGCTATCATGAGATAATATTCATGTGAATCATAAACCCTTGCGTCTTTTGTCCTTTTATATATATATTTTTGTGTATATAAATCTTGTATACTTGGTCAAGTCTATCAGATCGTATCATGCCCGAAGAAGACATACCAATGTTCTGATGGGATGTTATAGACTGAAAATAATATTTACTGTGCTTACAAATCGTTGTTTATTAACTTAATATCGTATTAGAACACATGTGCTTCCGTACGCAAGTAAACTGTGTGTGTTGTAACCCAGCTTCTCTGATGAGCCGAAACGCTTGGTCCGAAGCGGTGTGAAAAATACAGCGTATAATTAATATAATAATATTATTATACAAACTATTTGCTATAAATCCGTGTTGGGCCAGTAGGAAATAACTATATTTAAATTATTATCAGCCTTATTATGATGTAACTATCTTTTAACTTTATATATTAAATTGTAACGTAGTTAGAACTGGTGACTAAGAAGTCATCCGTTTAGAAGCCTATACAATTTTAATATCACCATTTCATATTGTCATCTTCAAGTAAGAAACGAAGAACTTTGGATAGTTTTAAGTTTTACATTGAAAATATCAAACGATAGTTGAAGTAATAAAATGCGTAAGAGTAAACATTACATGTGTTTCTATGGTAAATGTGTACGTAAATATCCTATACATCCATATATATCGTCAGGAACATTGTCTTCAAAATAGCATTTCCCCATTCTCAGTTTGATATTCTATAGAGTTCCTGATGAACTGGAACAAAAACAAAACAAAGTCTGTCAACGTGCGTATAACTTACCGAAAATCGTTAACTTAAAAGATAAAGAAATATGAGAGTAATTTTGCATTTCATAATAAGGTATTTATTTCATGCTTATCTGTAGTCTCATGTGTATTAGATTAATAATTCATTTCTAATTCCAGTCTGTAGGTAGCCGGTATTTGAGCTGAGAGGAATGTCGTAAACAAAAAAAAGGAATATCCAGTTCAATGGCACAGAATACTAGCAGATAATCGAAGGTACGAGAACCTCGTGATACAAGTGGGCAAGACAGAGATGAAATCTAACGGGAAAGTCGCTCTTAAAAGGAGGTCATCTAGTGTTAGAGAAAGGGATGATGATGTCAACATCAACAAATTTCCAAAACTGGACAGTAAGACACGCAAAAAACAGAAAAATACCAAACCAATTGGTGACTTTGCCAAAAAAATTAGAAATTCTGTTAAAAACATTTCCCCTTTAAAAAAATCATTTTGTGAAACGAAGAAAGATGGGTCTCGAAAAACAAAAGTAGATGTTCTGAAATCTCAAAAGGGATATGCGAAAAATAAGAACAAAGAAACTTGTAGAGAGAAAAACAATACAACAACTAACAATAAAGAACCGACTCAAAAAGCAGCTCATAAATTCGGAACCGTTTTTCAGATAAAAACAAAATCGAAGTCCGGTGGAGATTGTGTTACTCAGTCGTTTTCACCAAAAAGCAACGTTAATCCAACACCTTCTACCACAGTAAACTGTATCATATTCCCAAAATATACGCTAACAACAAGATCAGCTCTAAGAATTGGCGGTGGAATGAGTGAAAAGCTTTTCGATGGATTACCAAACAAAAGTAGAAGTGTTAACAGAAAATGCTCCGAAAAAACAGAAAATTCAGAACTACTCAAATCTGAACCATCAGTTGTGAGTCCAGATTACCATAAAGCGATCGTAAAAACAAACGTAACTTCTCACTGGCACATCGCTAGAGGTCGTCGTGAAGCGAGTCTTAACGCATCAGCAAAGATGCGCTTGTTGTATGAGAACAATGTCCGAGGTAATTGGACAAGAGAACATTCTAATTACAACAGGGATGAGAGAGATCTTTTGTGTGAGAAAAAACGTGAGAAGACAAGATGGGACTACAAAAATATCCCGGAAAAGCAAAACTTGTCGAACAAGGTTATGAAGGCAAAACATATAAAGAAGCAAAAGGAAAAACTACAACGCCACCCGAGAGGAATCGTGAGTGAAGAGGTTTTCGATACTAGATCATGTAAACGTATGGCAAACCTAAATGCTCAGGCGATCCTGTGTGCTAGCTATTCCCAAGAACGGTGGCGTAGAGAGAAAATAGAAAAGAATGTCTATCCTACAGTAGATGTCCAGTATGAAATTAGCCACATTCAAGAAGAAAGGCTTGAAGCATTCTCTGTACACTCCAGTATCACTGACTCCACCAAAGAACATGAAATGCACATGACAACTTGTAACACTCACGTAATGGTGACGCCACACAACAACGACGAAGCTGTAAAATTTGAGAAAGTGACAGCAAGTGTTAGTAATAAGAAAAATCCGAAACCTGCAAGGATACAGAATCTGCCAAATAACCAGTTGATTGTGGGACGTCGAAATAACCACATAGAACCCCTGCCGTCTGGTCCAGCTGCTTTGATTCCCGTTTCGTCCACCAGCGAGGGAAACCGCACGAGACTCGAAAAAGTAGGGATGGCTCAGTACACGGAGGTAACCAAAGTGCACATTAACGCGAGAAAAGAAATGGGGGTGAAAGAAGAAAAGACAAAAGAACGCATTCTAGACACTGACAATGTAGCCATTACTCGTATGTGTCACTACCAAACTAATGCAACCAGCCAGAGCTATCGCCTCCGGATGGAAACTACTTACAAGCCTAACTTAACGACCCATGAGTTCTCACCACTGGTAAGGCAGAAACAGAAGTCGGAAAGGCACGTCTCTTCCGTTGCACGCGCGAAATTACAAACAAACAAACAAGAATTTTCTTATTTGTTAAAAATACAAGTTGAAGAAAGAAATACAAGAAATACAAGAAAAACTTACGCTTAAGATATCAATTACATTTTATATCATATTTATGGAATATACTGTTCTAAATCCGGTTCTAAAGCTAAAAAATATGAATTCTACTCTAAGTTACATAACAGAACACCACTTACTATATTCACTGGACGTGTAAGGCATTGAGGGTGAATGTCCAAAATGTGGAACACTAAACGCACTTTCATAACTTGAAGTCGGTCCCATCCCAACCATCGCCATGTTATTCAAACCATTTCTGAAAGACTGAGGACTGGACACTGGGATAATCGGACTGTGTGCGGAATAATTGTACAAGTTTTGAGTGCCATGCATAACAGGACGAGCCACGTAAAGCTACATGAGGGCTATCTGCGCTAGCCGTCCCTAATTTAGCAGTGTAAGACTAGAGGGAAGGCAGCTAGTCATCACCACCCACCGCCAACTTTTGGGCTACTCTTTTACTAACGAATAGTGAGATTGACTGTCACATTATAACGCCCCCACGGCTGAAAGGGCGGAAATTCTTGAAATTAAAATCTCGGAAACCGTAAGTCTTATTAAATTCAGTAATTTTCATACTTTAGCGTATTTATTTAACAGTATTATTTATTTTGAAAAACAAAAGTATGTGTTGGTTTATAAATAAAAAATAAAATAATAAGACCATATAGTATTATTATTTCGATATTTTCGAAAGGGAAGTTGAAATATCAAATCTGTATTTCATATATGTACAATGATTGTCGTAAGTCATGTAAAATTATAATCCACGTGGCGAAAGTTAACAGATCAAAACTGTGATCGATCGCTCCACTCTCTTTCACTTTCAGGGTATGTCCAGCAAATTTGTGTTTTCCAAATTAAGTCATAACTCATGCCCGTAGTCAAAAGCAAATTGGAAGAGGCAATACTTTATAATCATGCATCGTCGGTACATAGTACATTAGTTGCTATTTGCCAACGAATGTAAGTGTCATGTTGAAGTATTCTTATACCCAGTCGTACATACTTACGAAATGCATTACATCTTATTTGTTTTCCGAGTCAATAAATATATTATTTATAGTTTATGTTACTGTTAAGTACAAGTGGTGATTGGTTGTGCAGGGATAACTTTCATTGACAATTAGTATATACGCTTATACGGACTATCGAGTATCTGATTGCGTGTTGTTCAGACTTACGTTACGTTGCTAGTGAGCAGCCATCACGTTAACATACAACTCTACCCTACACATAATAGTGGCTTACATCAAGTCTTAACAAAGAAACTCGGTCTCGACGATGGCACCGATAAAACCGTTCATTTTGTGTCTTTGGTTAATTAAATCACATATTGCTCTATATCAGAAATGTTTTAAATAAATCGACAAATTTTGTTTTATCAGAAAGTTTATTTTCTTTTTTTATATTTTGGGGGACCCGGACATGGCCTGATGGTTAGAGTGCTCGACTCGCAAACTGCAGGTCGCGGATTCAAATTCCCCTTCAAACCGAACATGCTCGCCTTTTCAGCCATGGGGGCATTATAATGTTACGATCAATTCCATTATTCGTTGGTAAAAGAGTAACCCAAGAGTTGGCGGTGGTTAATGTTGTCTGGCTGTCTTCCTGCTAAATTAGGGACGGCTAGCTTAGATAGCCTTCGTGTAGCCTTACGCAAAATTCAAAACAAACAAATCTTTTGTGTGTGTGTGTGTGTGTGTTATTCACGCCTATTTGCAATACACGTTATCGAACAATTCAGCACGTCATGCTTAGTTATGTTCCTGTCACTACCGAATGACTGGTTGATAACACAGAGTTTCAACCAAACGTACCTTGTTCGATCAGTTCACCTACTCGTGATATCGAACGTGCTGAAACCAGTCAAGGTGACCGTCAAGCAGATAAAAACTTAGGACTATGAGGATACTTGTGAAGGTAAAATGTTTGAACACTTTAGCAAAATGAAACCGAAATATTGTAAATAAATAAACAGAACGTGTGTGAATTTAGACAGGAAATCTCCATGTGCAAAGCTGAAACGAACGATCTTAAAACGTTAGTAGATTTTGTTCAAACAAAACTTGTGGATTTATAAAAATGATGTCTGAAATAATGGCTAATATAAAAGAAGTTAAACAACAATATCAGGAACTAGTGTTGCAAAACAAGAATATGCAACAGGAAATCAACATCTTTAAAAGAACAGGTAATTGACCTTGGACAGTATTCACGAAATATGAATATTGAAGTTCAAGGGGTACCAGAAATACAGGGAGAGAATAGTAGAGATATTGTTCAAGTAGTTGCAAAGGCAGCTAATATCACTGTAAAATATCAAGATATTCAAATAGCTCATAGAGTAACACCAGGAAATATAAAAATAAAACTAGGCCGATTATCGTACAATTTTCGAATAGACAACTTAGGAATAAATGGTTTCATAAAGAAGTGAAGAAAGTGATAAAAACGACCGATATAAATGAACACTACAAGGAAAGTTTAGTGTTTAGAAATGAACATCTAATACCTGAATTTAAAAAAAACTTTTTTATATAACTAAAAACGCTGCCAGAAATAAAAATTATAAGTATATTTGGATTAAAGAAGGAAAAATTATTGTAAAACAATCAGAAAATGAAAAGGTAATAAGAATTGAAAGTGAGAAAGATTTAACTGAATAAGATGGTGTTAAAAAATAATATCTTCAATATTATTTTAAATGGTGATTCAGGAATTGATAATTCGTATAAGAATAATTTATTTGTTGGTTCAAATATGATTAATGGAATATAAATGAATATACGTAGTCGAAATAAGAATTTTGATTTTTTTTCTTATTTATGTACAGTTAATTACACAGAAAATACATATAATAGTACTTACAGAAATCTGGGCCAAAAATGAAGAATTAAATTTATATAATATAAAGGGGTGCAAAAAATACTATAATGTCAGAAATTATAATAAATCTGGAGGTACTTTAGTATTTGTAAACAATGAAATAAATGTACAAGAAAAAACTGTTGAATTTAATGCAGTTGCAGTAGTAAACATACAATGCACATATCAAAACACTAAAATCAATGTTATAGCAATTTATAGATCTCATCAATATAGTATACAAAATTACATTAAACAACTAAAAATATATTTGAAGTGAAAATAAAATGAAAAATGTGTACATTGTAGGAGACATGAATATAACTATTAAATCTGAAGAGAATGATGTAAAAGAATATAAAAATGTGTTAGCTGCTTTTGTCTTTTATTCTTGTATTCAAAGTATTACTAGAGTACAGTCAAATGCATGTCTCGATCATATTTATATTAGAACAAATAAAATATATACTATACAAATAACAAAACTAGGATTACAAATCACTTTACTACAGCTCTAAAAATTCATTTAATGAATAAAACTATGTTAAATCCAAGTATAATAATGAAGAATTAAAAATAAATTAAAAACATCGATACAAAAATAAGAAAACTAGACGAGGATTTATCGATGTAACACATAATGCTTGCAAGAAAGCATAGCTTAAATGCCGTGTGTAAAAATGATAGAATAAGGAAAATTCGAGCGAAGGGCATGAAAACTACAATAAATGTTTTTCAGATCACGGCTAGCATTTAAAAAATACGATTCAAAGAATAAATATATTTCCGTAAAACTAAATTATATGAATTAAAACATTTGATTTTGGAATACAGCTTTTCATGTACACGGAATTTACTAGAGTTTGAGAACCACTACTTCAACCTATTAGTTCAAAATTAAGAAAGATTACGCGCAGATAGCTCTTTTGTATCTTTGCGCTGAATTTAAAAAAAAATTAAGTGCCTCCCAGTGGCACAGCAACAAGTCTGCTGACTTATAATGCTAAAAACCGGTTTTCCATACCCTTGTAGTTTTGTGCTTCACTACAAACCAATAACAACAAATCGTGCTTGTAATTTCTGAAAATTTATAACTTTTATTACCGATTTTATTAACGACACAAAACATTTTCTTTTTCTTCTCAAGCCCTTAGCTGTTACAAATGGGCAAAGAGAAAAAGTTTATTTTATTTATTTATAAGTTTCTTGAACATAAAAGTGTATCTTTAACTTCTTTGTTATGTGGTTAGTTGATTTAAAATCGTAATTATTATTGGTAGATATATAACTACTATTTTTAATAACTAAGATAAATAATTAAATACAGGAAAAGAAGACTATAGTTGTTCAGTTTGGTTGATTTGTTTGCATTTTCTTGTAAAGCTACTCGAGGACTATCCTAATTTAGCAATGATAGACAAGAGGGAAGGCAGCTAGTCAACACTACCCACCGCCAACTCTTGAGCTATTATAATGCCCTCGCGGTTAAAAGGTCGAGCATGTTTGGTGACGGGGATTGCGAATCGAGTGCCATAACTGAAAGACTATGCCAGGCCATGTGTATTATTCCGAACACGGGTATCAAAACCCGGTTTTTAGCGTCATAAATTTTAGACTTACCTCTGTGCCGTTGGGGTCGGTTGCTCAGAATGATGTTTAATGAGTTAATCTAAAGTTTACAGACTTATGGTTTAAATCGTAGTTTTGAAGGTGCTTTGTATTGCTTATGTTTACAATAACATTTCAAAATGCTTTTTTTGTTACCTTTTTTTTACCTATTGCTTTCATTAAGAAAGTTCATGTGATTGTAGAGTTTGAATCGTGGTCTACCCTCCCCACTATACGTTATAACAATATCGGGCAACTTGCATAACATATAGTTCAATAAAAAGTTAATTAACGTTTATTAAAATCGTAGCTTAATGTTTTTTGGCAGATGATTATTAGATTTTATTCGTTTTATCTCCCACTATTACGTGTTTTACTGAAATGTCGCGTATGGTTTAGTAGTGACGTAATAATAATTCCACCAATGAAAAAATAAGGTGAGCTAAAGTTCTGGGAAAAGGAATTTCTATGTGAAGTAGCGTGAGTCACTGTCTGGAGAGTCAATTTTTCTATCTGATTTAGTTATATTCTACATGGGTAGAAGAAACACATTTGAATTTTGAAGAGGTAATGACAACTAATGCAACATTTATTGATTTTACGTTTGATGTTTAAACTTAATTTAATTCTAGACTTTTCACTCACTTCGTGTAATAATAAGATTCATATTTGATTAAATATAATAATTGATAATTTAGGCTTAACTACCGGTAGCTAATTGACTTAAACTTAAGTTATTCACTAACGTATTGAGTTATTGACTTATTCAAATTATTGAGTTGTTGTAGAAAACTAAATTGAAAATATTACTTAGTAAATTGTAATCTGTGTAGTGTATTGCAGATCACTATACTGTAATTTGTGGTTTTAGAGAGGCTCAGAGTGATTTGATAGAGTTTCTGGATTTTTGCTTGTTAAAAATAAACAAAAAAGTAAGCTTTACCCTTTCGTTTGGAAAAAATTGTCGGAATGGAAAATAAAATTAAAAATTGTAGAACTTAGAAATTATAAAAAACATCATGAAGCTAAAGTTAAGGTTTCTGTTAGGAAGAAAGAGGAAAATGTTGAGTTGACAAAGATGTGTAGTTGAAGGAGGTCTAGGTCACACTCCAACTTCAAGTGTGGTTTACCATCCAACTTTAAAGCTAAGAAGTTAGCCCTCTAGCATTTGCTAGTAAGTCACTTTTTAACAAATGAAACTACTACATTCTTCTGTTCTCACAAACAAGTCTTGTCTTCAGGCTTAATTTCAGGGTCATGGTATTGCCCCACATTAGGTGGTAATGTCATAATTTTATTTGTTCACATTGTTTTTTGCCTCTGATTTGAATCCAAGACCCACTGTTGCCAGATCTAAAAATGAAAATATCATATTGGAACTTTAAAATTATTGTGTTTTTTTTAAATATTGTACACTGCAAATAGTTAAGTATATGACAGTTGAAATCTTTTTTTTACATGAACTATAATATCAAGTTAACCTGTGCTGTGTACTGTATCATCACGATTCTGCTTGACACCACCCATTATCATGTTTTATTTAACTCTTTAGTCCCCAGGAAACACTACATTTATTACTATTATTATTCTTCTTTCCTATTTGCTTTCCTGTTCAAATTTCTCATCTAACATTATTCTGGTATAATACTTAAGTTTTAGAAATCATTTACATGTGCTTGCCTCCATGGCTTATCAGCTGTGTTAGTCCATTTGTGCACTTATTTTACAACTGTGCAAAGGAGGTTATAATTGAATGTCATCATAATACACAGAGACAATAGATCACATGATGAAGTAGTTCAGCACTGAATGGTTGTTGGTGATTATTATTATTTGTTAGACCCCTAGCCATAACAAAATGAAGAGATGTTTTAAATCTAATGGCACGACAAAATTATCGTAAATTATGAACACTTTTTGTATTATTGATCTTGCATCATCAGAGGTTAAAATTATCATTGAAATACGATCATTATCATACATCTGGCAACACTGCCAAGACCTGTCACAGACCATGTAAGTGCTTTACCAGCTTAATTAAAGGGTTGACCCCCTAGCAATGGATGCTAAGTCATTTTTTAACAACTCGAACTATTACATATCTATTGACCAAAATATCATATATTCGATGGACATCCAGTGTCATGGGTATATACACATGGTTACACTGTGACTGCTCATGTTAATAAGTATTTGAACGTAGCACCACATAGCAGGTCTTGATGGCATAACATTTGAATGTAAGCTATTATAACATATTTTCTTATAATAAGCAATCATATCTTTCTTATTGTTTCTCTGTAAAATGAAACATTATGTAAAAATACATTTTATTTTCTTATGTATGTAACAGTATAGAAATGTTGATTGTTGTCTGCCTTTGCTCAGTTATTCAAAAGAACCTAATTGGGATGAGATAGGCATAAAATATTCCTATGCATTTTCTGTGTCATCGACGTTAGGTTTGTTCCAGTTTTTGATAAAAGCTTTGCTAAATTACATTACCATAGGACATGTTTTATTACATTAGAAAAGGCTATGCTTGGTTGGTATATAACTAGGCTCATTGTATATTGGGGACACGTAATATTCCAAAACAGTCATGTATGTAGTCTTAACTATAGCTTGTATGCACGAAAGTTGTCTGTTTTTGTTTAACATTGGTCATAATGGTCATGTTGTTTTCATTCCACTGTATTTATCATGGCCATGCATGTACCTTGTGATAACTTGTATTCATGATTGTATATACTACTGCAGACAGCAGAGGTGGTGGAGATGGTAAAGGGCCATTGTCCACCCATTTTCTAAATGGGGAGCACTGCCTCCACTGTTAACCTGGTAAAGTATGTCCAAAACCATTTGAAGGGAGATACCATTTAGTGAAAAGGAGGGGGGGGGCTTGTGTTTGCAGACCCTAACTAAATGTATTTCTGTACATTGTATGGTTACAATACAGAATTT